CGATCATTACCTTTGTCCGACAAAGGGGCTGATCCTGTCACTATGATCACCCACTCAGATGAATTCTCAGACTGTCCCAACATACCCAGGTTTTGACCCCCGCTAAGGATCTCACTGATTGGTACATCAAAGACAGTCCAATCCGACACCTAGTGCAATGTCATAATCGAGTCTAGGGGTCGGGTGTAACTTTTTAGTTTTGCCCATCAATCTCCAAGGTTCAGGGCAATACTGGAAATCTGGTCCAGTTCAAAGATTCAATTAATCATACACTGTATGTGCCTAGGGTCTCACCCTGGCAGCTGAGACAGACCACCCCAACCGACTTGGTGGCACCATAGTGTCAGCCTTATCAAGATAGATCTCCCCAGACCGACCCACTGGCTGTGAACATTCTAAACTAACACGAGTCTCATTAAGTGTCAAGTTTAAGGGTATTACAYRGAAACATACCAAGGGAACATGAATCAAATATGCACTTTTATTCATTTACAATAAACTCATAAAGTATATCATTTTGATTGAAGTTAAGGGCATACAAAACTGTCTAACATCTCCCTTCCCTACACAGTTGAAATCTAAAGGGATATTTTGCTTTCCATATTAAGTTCCAACTTTCCCTTGGACCAGATGATGAATGGTGCTTATGCATTAGGAATGTCTACCTGATTCAACACTATAGGACGCATTTTTAGATTGTTTCCATAGTAAGGAATTTGGGTTTGCTTGTGATGTTTGAGGCCTCTAGGTTATATGATGGATTGTCTCTTCTTCAAAATACTGATGTTGTAAAGAGATATTCCAAGGCCCATCATTTTCCATCAGATCCTTCACTTTCATATCGCCACTTGATCTCTCACTTGTTCTTTTATTTTTGGACGCCCATCCAACTGTGATGGGATCCAAGGATCTAAAATATTTACAGAGTGGTCATTGTGAACATGCCAACACAGGTTTTCTTTGAATAGGTTTAAAGTGTCTACTGCATATTTCCACCATTTTGAGTCATTTTTTTGTGTAGTAAGAATATTGACTTTCTTTTAATGTATTTTTTTTGGATAGCCTTTGACTACAATCTTGAGTGATTTGTAAACAATTTCCACACTTGTTTAAAAAATAACGCTTTATTAAACTCCTTAATTCTCCTAATCCCAAACCTCCCTCTTTTTTGACTTACATATTTGATTCCATGAAATTGCATACAATCTCAAAGAAGCAATCCCACCAAACTCTTCTTTGAATCTTCTCAATTTCAGTAATGGTTTTTTTTCTAAAGAATGATGGCCCCCACAGATCAGGTTACACCTGTAATAGAAAAAAAATGAAAGAATCTAGAGTGGCAGAATAGAACACTTYATTTAGCACTTTAGCAGTACACCAAAGAGTGTAAATGACCTAACTTGGCAAACATCCAAAATGACACTTTCGCCAAAGACTGACAATTATCTTTGTTGTCTTCATTCAAGGAGAAGCTCGATGTATATAATGGACTCTCCCTAATGTTAGAAAATATTACCATTCGAGGTTTTCCAACAAATAGGTGATCAGTTTGGACTCTCCCTAATGTTACAAGTGTCCACTAGGTAGGATTAGGTGCCAAAAAATTTTCAACTACCTAGCCAACCTATTGACCAAGCCAAACAAGTTATGCTAACATGGCAATAGTTTGTTAACAACAAAACAAACAAACACAGTTAATAAGAAGAATAGTACTGCATTAAGCATAAAGATTCTTTTATCCATTGGTGTAGGCTATGCCATTGGTCATAGGATTTATCCTTACACCAAGGTTATTCCAATCAAGGGCATCTGGTCACTCGTATCAACATCTCCCACTTGGCCATTTAGGCCAGAGATGTCAGCAAGCCTTTGAGACCCAATTCATGTATGTGCCTTTTAAAGTTTTCACCTGATATAGGCCTAGTGAAGGGGTCAACTAGCATGTTTCTTGTAGGCACATTATCTACATGGATTTCTTTCCTATGGTAGATATCTAGTAAGTATTTGTACTGAAGTTCTATATGTCTTCCCTTGGGGCCAATTTCACCGTTCTTTATCGTTTGAATTGCAGCTTCATTGTCATTATATATTTGAGCCAGATCACTTTGCAACTTGAAGTCTTCTATAAACCACTTTATCCATACAATTTCTAAGGTTGTTGTACAACAAGCTATGAATTCAGCCTTCATTGTGAATTTTGCAAACCATCTTTGCTTTTTACTGGCCCATGAAATAACTCTTCTTACAAAAAGAAAGACATACTAGGTTGTTGACTTTCTATCATCAACATCTCCTACAAAGTCAGAATCACAATATTCTAATATTTTTAAATTATCGCTACAATATGTTAACTTAGTATATTTAGTTTCTTTGAGATATCTAAAAATTCTCTTTATTGCTTGCCATTGATGCTTTCCTGGATTGCTTTTATATCTACTAACTAAGCTAACAACAAAACTTAAATCAGGCCTAGTTCACAACATGGCATACATTAGGCTGCCCACTGCTTGAGCATGAGGTTTCTTAGTCTTCTCATCCTTTTCTTCTTTAGTCATTGGAAACATATCTTTGGTCAGTTTTTTGGACTAAATTATTGGTGTGCCAACAGGATTACACTCATCCATTCTAAATCTTTTAAGGTTAGTATCTATATATCTTTCTTGAGATAATGAAAGTGTTCCAACTTTTTTATCTCTTTCATTTCAAATTGGGATTTCAGCCAGTTTTTTGTTTTTTCTATCATTTCTAGCAATTAGGATATCGTCTACATAAAGAGATAGTAATATAATGGAGCTCGCACTATTCAAGACATATACACAGTAATCAAATGTATTTGGAACAAAACCAAGTTTTATAATGGCATTGTGAAAAGTGTAATATCACATATGGGGAGATTGTTTTAATCCATATAGTAATCATTTTAATTTATACACTTTTCTTTCTTTTCATTTTACTATATATCCCCGGGTTGTTGCATATATATGTCTTCATCGAGTTCTCCATTTAAAAATGTGGTTTTTACATCCATTTGAAATAGTTCCCGATCAAAATAGGTTATCATAGCAAGTATTATTCTAAAGATGTAAATCTAGCAATTGGTGAATAGGTTTCTTCAAAATCAATTCATTCTTTTTGTGTGTAGCCTTTTACTATTAATCTTGCTTTGTATTTGTTTATCGGGTTTTAACTTTCTTTTAAGTATCCATTTGCACCCTATAACTTTCCTATCCTTGGGTGGTTCCACTAAGTCCCAAACTTGATTCCTAACCATTGAGTCAAACTCTTCATACATAGTTGTTTTCCAATTTTCATGATCAACAAAGGCCATTTCCTTTGTAAAATTTAATGGATTAGCTTCACACTCTGCTATATAGTCATTTTGAAATGTGTAAAAGTCTTTGTACCTAGAAAAGGGAACTCTTTCTCTTTGTATTGTAGTTATTATGTCCAATTTAAGAGGTTGAAAGTCATTGGGACTTTCAATAGCCTTTTCCTTTTCTATCTCAAAAGGGTCAACCAACTTCTTAGGATCATTAGGGTCAACTTCATCTTCTAAAAATTTGGCATCCCTACTTTCAACTAGTTCAATGGAACCATCAGATTTGTGTCTTACAAATCTATAGCACTTTGATGTTTCAGAATACCCAATAAATGTTGCTTTAAAGCTTTTAAGATCCAATTTGTTTCTAAGTTGGTTAGGTCCCCAAACATAGGCAGTAGATCAATCCCCATACTTTTAGATTTGTAAGATCAGGTTTTCTACCTGCCCAGAGTTCATAAGGAGTTAGTTTATTAATCTATGTAGGGACTCTATTTAGTATGTAAACTACGGTAGATAATGCTTCCCCCCAAATTTGGTTTCCTAAGTTAGAATGACTTAAATTAGATTTAGTCATGTCCAAGAGGGTTATATTTCTTCTTTCAACCACTCCATTTTGTTAGAGTGTGTAAGAAATGGCTAATTGGTGTAAAATTCCATTTTCTAAACAAAAACTATCAAATAGTTCAAAAATGTATTCTCCACCCTAGCACTCCTAAGTATTTATATTTTCTTTCTTGTTTGGTTTTTAGCTAAAGTTTTGAATTCCTTGAATTTATCTAGAACATCATATTTTTATTTAATAAATAAATAAAGCCAAATCTTGAAAAGTCATCTATATTGTCACAAAATACTCCATCTTCCTATGGGTTTTCACATTAATTGGTCCACAAACATCTGAATGTATTATTTCTAAGAGTTCTTCAGATTTTTTAGCCTTTCCAAATGGTTTTCTATGCATTTTTCATTGCAAGCAGGGTTCATAAGTTTTAATATCTATGTTCATTTGAGGTAACAAACTATTGTCACACATCTTTTTTATTTGTCTCTATTTATGTGTCCAAGCCTCAAATGCCATTTGTAAGAATCTAAACATACAAACAAAGTGCAATCAACATAAGCAGAAGCATTAGAAATCTCATTATTAATAGAAAGTCGGTACAAACCATCTTCTCTCATTCCCCATAACAGAATTCTCCCATGTTATGGATTCCTTCCCACTCCTAAAATGGACTTCAAATTCCTTTTCATCAAGTCAAGGTACAAAAATTAGGTTATTCCTAAGAGTACAAAGTGTCTAACAAAATGAAATTGATTCCATCTTTAATAGGGATTTTTATAGTTCCTACTCCTAAGACACCATAATAAGAGTTGTTTCCCATGAAAAGCTCGTATCGACCAGGTTGCATTTCTCTCAAGTCAATGAAGAATTCTTTTGATCTTGCAATATGTTGAGATGATTTGGAGTCAACCCACCACGAGCTCAAATCAGAATCAATAATGAACAACTCTGAAACCACACAAAATGTCTTTAGTATTAGTACTAGGCTTTTGTTTCTTTTGAGGACAGTGGTATTTGGAATGATCTAGAGTTCCACAATTATAACAAGTTATTTTCTTCTTTTTGTTAAAGTTATTCTTTTTGAACCATTTACCCTTTCCCTTTTGGAACTTGGGTTTAGGTTATTCACCCAATTTAGACGGTTCAGGAGTAGGACTAGTTACTAAAGCATATGGGTTTTCTTTTTATTACTTCTCTCAGCTTCAACAACAAGTAATATGGGTAAATTTTGCATAGTGATAGTTGTACTAGACAAATTGAGTGAAATTACTATTTGTTCCCATGATTTAGGTAAACTATGCAAAATAGTAGAAGCCTAAATTTTGTTAGGTATAGGGTTACCAACAACAACTAATTTTTAGCAATAACAGTCATTTTGTAACCACTATCAGTAATGGAATCTTCCTCCTTTATTTCAGAACCATAGAATTTTTCAATGAGAAGTTATATATAAGATTATGTTACTTTTCCATATGTCTCGGTAACAACATCAAATATTGTTTTGGTGTGTTTATGTTCTTCAAATAACATTTCAACATCAGGTTCCATAAAAGTCAAAATAGTAGAATGAGCAAGCTTATTGTCTTTCTCATACTTAGCATATTTTCTAATCTCAACAAGAGAAGCATTTTCAACAGGATTTGCAGGTACAACAGTATCTAGTAAATAATCTAGATCATCTTGGGCAAGAATATGTCTAATCCTTCTTTTCCAAGTGGAAAAATTAGTGCCATGTAGCTTCTCAGTTTTGCTTAACTTAGTAATAATAGCCTTACTTGTCATAATAAAAATAGCACAATAGGTGATCAAGTAAAGCAAAAAGTTTGAAGTACTTAGCTTTTAGGTCGAATGTAAACTGTTAGCCTTCCGTGGATTGCCTTGTGAGGTCTCTACTGGGCAGCGCCTATCATGAATTGGAATTCACAGATTCAAGCCACTCCTCGATTAAGCCAAGAGTTGTTATTGGGTCGGTTTTGACCCACTCAGGGCTTTAAGAAATCACTTGATTCAACAAAGAAAAACCACTTCAGATTTTCAGATCTCGATTCAAAGTTGAAGAAAATCATCTCAGATCAAAAGGGTTTGGAAGACGCCTCAAATTTTCAGATCTTATTTTGGTTTGAAGTTGAAGAAAAACAGCTTTAGATTAGAAGACGCCTCAGATTTTCAGACCTTATTCTAGTTCAAAGTTGAAGAACATTGCTTCATATCCTTGTTCTGGTTCATAGTTGAAGAAACCGCCTCCGAGATTTCCGATAGGAGGATAATATGTAGGCCTATAGCAATATTGATGTGTAGGATTGTTGCCCTCTTTCTTTGGTTTGAATGGAGTAGTGTTCCTCTATCTTCTTGTTCAACACTACAGCAAATGGAGTGTCGAATAGAGTTTAGGAGGTGTTTATGATCTCATGCAGCGGAGACTATTGGAGGAGGAGTTGCAACCTTGCTCTAATACCACTGATGGCCCCCCTTGGTCCCTTTTCCCAAAATGCTGGTTGTGGGATTCGATTCTGCGTCAAAACTGGAACAAACTAACTAATACATGGCCATCAAAGAATGGTTGCCAACATTGAATAAACTAGTACTGCTTGATGTATAGATTTGACCAAAGTTGTTCTTCCTTCTTGTGATAATAGTTTTGCTTTCAATGAAGCAAGTTTGTTATTCATTTTATCTAAAATCTCCTGGTGACAATTTTCTAATATGCCCTATAGACATAATCTAATTCCTAAATATTTCTTTTATTTGACATCCACTTCATTTGTAATAGATTTAACATGATTTTTCTTTTCCTTCTATGAATTCCTCTACTAAAATATACTTTTGACTTTACAAAATTTATTTTTTTCACCTGGATCATCTTGAAAACTAAGAGAGTATTTCCTTTATTATTCTACTTATTTTTATTCCTTGAATCTCCCTATCAGCACCTTGGCCTTGTTTACTAAATAAGATAATGTTTGCATACCAATTATGAATAGATAGGGTGTTAAGGGATCTCCTTGTCTTACACCATTGTCTAGAGGAAAAAATTCATTCATTGTACCATTTATTTTAATAGAGAACCTTGGGGTCTTTTATGCAAAAATTCACCATATCACACTATTTCTCCTCAAATCCCATCTCTTTCATCATTTAGATTATGAACCCCTCCATATGTCATAAGCATTTGATATATTAATTTTGAGGACACATCCTTTTCATTTTTTTTTTCTTTTTCATTTTGTTGACAACCTCTCCATAGCCAAAATTATGTTGTCAAGACTTTTGCCGTTCTTTCACAAAAGTTGATTGATTTGATACAATTACTTTTTGTAGGGTCTTTTGCATTTTAAGCACTAAGGGCCCATTTGACAAGTTATTTTGAGAAGATATTCTTAATTGAGCTTTTGATATAAGATCTGGGCAGCCCGAAGACCATTTGGCGGATATGCATCTTTTCGTTCATCGTTTCAAGTCTTTCTGCACGAGATTAAAATGCGGAAGACACGGGAAGCTTTCCGAAATCAGCCCAAAATGGGCTTCCCATATCTTTTCGGCACCCCGTCTTTTGGCGRTGAGATCTTCCACATGCCAAACGAGAATAGACCGATTTTCGGTCTTCCTTACTTGTAAACAACCAAAAAACCGCAACGGGGTCTAAATATTTAACAATTATTTTATAATTTGCATTCTTTTTCCTATTTCTTCTTTCAAACCAAACACAGCCTTAGCGATCATTAGGCATTCATTTAGGTTTATAAGGAGGACACACCAAATTTATCGTGGATTGAAAATTTTCGTTGGACCCATTCCAAGGCGCAAGCTAAGAGAAATTTTATCTATCAAAAGAAAATTAGAGATTTAGAATTAGAGAGTATCTTGTGGGACCCATCTTAGATTCGGTTGTAAAGCCAGATGATGCATATGAACTGGAGAGGTCCCATCTTGGTGCAGTTTCCAAAAACTTGGGACCGTCGACTATGGCAAGCCAGCCACACCGAACTGGTCAAAAAGCTTTGGCTCCAATCCAACGGTTGAAAGCTCGAGAGCATCAAGTAGATATTACAATTGTTCTATTCGTATCGATATGAAATGACTCGCAGTAGCTGGGAACCAATGAAACGATTGAAATCATGGGTTTACTCAATGGTCTGAAGACTGAAGGCGGCAACCTGATTACAAAACCTCCTGCTTGGCTGCTTCCCCATTGTAGGTTTGAGTTTCAGAAAACTAACATAACAGAAGACTAGAAGAGAGAGAGAGAGAGAGAATGGGTAGGAGAGGCGGAAGAGCTTCCGTCAAGAACATGGAACTAGAGGGGTTTCAGATGGCAGACCCTCTACCGAATGATCAGGTTTGGGTGTTTCTCTTGCAAGCTTGTATCATTCTCTATGAACTTTCACCAACTTTTCTCTACCTACTGGTGCATATTTTTTTGGTGGTTGATCAGTTTGATGTTTATTTCTTTAGTTTTTATCTGGTCTCTTTTCTTTTCTTTTGGTGTGGAGGGGAGGGATTTAGTTTTATTGGGTCTTTGTTTTTAGAGCCATGTTAGATATAAGAGCAATGCATGGTCGTTTGTAAGTGTAGATAATCAGGCAAACATCTTTTGAAACACTCTTTCTGTATTCTTGATGTTTATAAAATGTGGGAAGTTTGTGAAACTTTCACATATTATGTCCATATTCACTCCATGTAAACCTCTATTTTTGGGGGTTGTGGTGAACTGGTGATCAGGAGGAGCTCCTGCTTTCTTGTAGTTTACAAAAAAGGTGTATTTTGTAAATTACTAAGATATGACATGATAACCCTTTAGAAGAATCTTCTCGGATTATCAAACTTCCTTGGTTTTAGTTATTGTCATGTTAGAACAACCAGAAATGATTATATTACTGTTTTGGAATTTGATTTTAATCTAATGGACGTTTAGAATATATTGTGAAAGTTGATAGTCTTGTAATAATGGAAGAAAAATCTTTCTGACCAAGTGATGCAATTTTTTAGATATCCTTCATGTTATTAGTTACCAGATAAATCTTGTTCTTGTTAGCCCAAAAGCTCAAATCCTTCCTTGGAGGGAGCCAAAGCAAATAATGAAGGAGCGGCTGAGCTGAAAAATGGTTCGAGAAAGGAAATTTTAGAAAGCAAAAAGGCTAACCCTAGGCGATCTCAACGTGTTCAGCACACAATCTTGTATACTCAAGCTCGGGATATTGAGCCTGTGGTTGAAAATATAGATTTGAGTGGAAATGAGGAAGATGATCAGCAGCATATTCATCAGGTGACAAGGAATGCTGAGTCTGTTCTTGGTATGAAAAGCCTGGAGGACAAAATTGATTATGCAGTGAAAATTTTGGAATCACATGATAAGATGCTTGAAGCATTGAAGCTCAAGGTGGTTAATTGTTCGTCTGTTAACATTGTTGATGGCATCGTCAGTTTCCATTATTGATTATAAAACAGTCTTAACACCATCTGATTTTCTCAAAACAGGGAGCTGATTGGTACCTTCCCACTCAGGCCACAACTTTGGTTGGAACAAGATCAGGGGAGAAGAAGAACAAGTACAAGGAAATGTATATAGACTCTCAAAAGAAGGTTATACTTATTCAATGCCTTGCTTCTTGTCCTCATTTATGGAAATGCACTAAATGTATTCTTATTGTTTCTCTGCTATTTTCAGATTGAGATCTTAAGAGAGGAGAATTATCAGCTTGGTAAAAAGTTGGAGAATGCTCTTGGAAGGCTCGAAGCAGTATGTTTTCCTCAAGCTATTTTTCCAGTCATTTGTGGCTTGTGGATCCACTCTAGTTTAAATATTTTCTTAAGATATCTACTAACAACAAAATTGAAATTTTTCTTTAGATATCTAAACTCTAAAAGACAACTAATGTCTTCTAGATGATATTTCCATTTATTGGATGGTCAGATTCATCCAATTGATATGTTTTCGGGTCTAGAAGATGCCTTTGATGGCATCCAATATGTAAATGTTTCTAATAGCCCGACACACAGGAGATAATGTATCCATTATTAATATAACTGCACTATCTCATTATATGTCTTGTGGAATTTAATTACTTCTACCCCAATTTAGGGGTTTTGCAGAATTTACATGTATTATGTATATATGAATTTTAGCCTGGTTGTGATTCTATATCAAGCTCACAAACCACCATTGTGGAGTGTAGGCCTGTTCATTGGTCATCTGATCAATATGTTTTCATTTATAGGTCTCTTTGATGGCATCCTTAAACTGAATAGCCCTAACTAAACCTGTTCATAGGCCTGGCTTTGGGCTAGGCCCATGAACATTTTACACTATTTCGGTCTTGCGCTTTGGTCCGGGCCCATTCAAAATTTGGCAAAAGCTAAGCCTGAGCTTTTATGATCTTACTACTGTGCTCTCCCTTTTATATCTAAATGAAAATTTATGACTACTAATGGAGCTTCGGGTTTGCTAGGATTCAGATTTGGTAGTAAAATGTCATATAATCGATATGTTTTCTGGCCCAGAAGATATCTTTGATGGCATCCACAAAATGGTTGGTCTTAATGGCCCCATTTAATTAAGAGATCCTGTGGCTATTATAAAAGCCAGAGAGCCATCTCTTTATACCTCAAAATGCAATTAGTTATGTTTAATGACATGTTTTTTTGGGTCCGTTTGGTTCACATTCGGAATCGAAATCAAAATGATCTATTCCCATAGTTTGTTTGGTTGAGACAGGAATTTGAATGGGAATTGGTATAAGCTGGAGTGGGGTTTCATTCCCAAGGGAGGGGGAGGGAATGACCATTCCCTCAAATGGGGGAATGCCATTCCACCAGGAATGAGAATGGGATTCCAATTCTGCCCAACCAAACAGTTGGAATCCGTTCTGATTCCGATTCCAGACCCCTATTCCTGCAAACCAAACAGGCCCTTAGTCCGGTTTTGAACTCTATTGATATCTTATAGCACTACTGTAGACTTTATGTTAGGCCCATGAATTGATGGTATACATGCATGATAGATATTGGTAACTTAGTTTAAATGAATGTCTGGAATTTTCAAGATATGCTGCAAATATTGATTTCTCATTCTCTGTTTGTAATTCCTATTTGATTTCTTTTAGCAGTGTAGACTTTCTCTATGACCCATAAGGCCATAAATTGACAGTATATATGCATGATGTTGGATATTGGTAGCCTAGTTTAAATGAATGTCTGGAATTTCTCATTCCTATTTGATTGCTTGCAGTATGAGAAGGGACAGATATTTTGTTCTGAAGCAATTGAGAAATTAAGGGATACGATGTTAATCTCTAGTCTTGCAAAGACAACTGAAAGGGTGTTGGATCTTTCAGCCTCTCGGTCTGGTAGAACTCAAGTCGCTAAAAGAGGAAGGTTTTGAAAGCTAGTTGAAAGGACTAAACTTTTCCGTTTCCATCCATGTCTTTTTGTCAATCTTTTGAACAAATTGTTAAGAAAAGATGTTTCTGTTTGTAACAGCCAGACCTTGTTCCTCACAGGGCTTTATTATTCAAGAAGTATATATATATATATATATAGAGAGAGAGAGAGAGAGAGAGAGAGAGAGACTCAAACTAAGAAATCCTGGGTTACTTCAGTGCTGCTATTATGTACTTCTGAGTTCTGATGGATTTCAATTTTTATGGCATCTAGAGAAGTAATGTTGTGGACTGTATGTTGAGGTGATTTTTTTATGCAATTAGGCTAGTATCATTTTGAATTTCCAACTCTGTAATGCCTTTCTTTTGTAATGTTTCATGAAGAACGTATTTGTCAGTTTGTTTTAAGGTTCAAATATTTGTATTGTATTCAAGTTGCCTTTTAAGTTATATATTTAAGTGGTCTTTAAGTGCATATTTAACGTATTTGTCATTCAAATGCATTTTTTAATTTAAATCTATAACAAAAAAAAAATACTTTTTTGAGAAAGGCAACTTGAATATATCAATCAACCCGTCATATATAAATTTTACATCAAAAAAAAAAAATTTCCCACTTTTATACCATCTAATCCATTAATTGTGTGACCATTAAGGCTGTGTTTGGTTTGAAGGAAAAAGTAGGGAAAGGAAGGTAGGGAAACATTTACAAATACGGGTTTCCCTACCTTTTCCCTCAAAAGATAGCCTAAATGTACATTAGATTTCAATAATTCAATTGCCTCCATGTTAATCCACTGATTGCACACTGCACGTTACACTCTTGAAACATTTAGATTTCAATAATTCAATTACTCCATGTTAATCCACTGATTGCACACTGCACGTTACGCTATTTGTGCCATTTAATCTTATCAGATATCAATACGACAGGCCACCAATCAAAAAGGAAGAATGCTCAAAAGGAACGTCAAATTGTCCAGGAGCAAAGAAAATGTTTATTATATAATATATATTGAAGAAACATAATATAGCAAAGCCATTAAACTTAAGAATTTAACAGCTTTATGCAAGGAATACAAAAAAATAAAATCTAGTATCTAGATGAATTTGAACAGGGTTTTTACTTTTTTATTCCATACAATACTTCTTTTCAAGAGAAGAACAGATCCCAAAAGTGTCGCTTTGGGGTGTTCCAGGAGATTCAATGTTATCACCATCATCTCCTTCATTTGCCTCTTCTGCTATTGGTGGTGGTGGCGATGAAAAATCTAGGCATATTCCCTGTATCACTTGCTCGTAGGATTCTGAGAGATCTTGAGAGGTGAGTTGGTGGTATTCCACAAGTTGGTGAAGGCATTGGTTCTCTCTAATCAGGTTTGCATTCTCATTTGCCAATCTGGACTTCTCTGCCAGCAGTGCCTCCAATTGAAGTCTCACCTGCAAAATATTGTTTAGTCAGGTTTGTGGCTACAAATATAGCTATATAGAATTCAAACAAATACATAGAATAAAAACTAATTTAGGATTACCAAATCATCTTCTTCAGGTCTCATCCCTTTGTCAAATCCTTCACGTAGCCTTCTGTTCTCTTCCTCAAGCAGAGAACATCTCTCTTGCATAAAAGTCAAGTCCGATTTTATTGATTTCAATTCTCTTGCAAGAACAGCCGCTTTGGTTGCCATGGAAACTGCAAGCTGGAGAGGCAGAAGAGACAATTAGCAATCTGTTTGATTTTAACAATTTGTTCATTAAGTATGGAATGAACGAAGAAAAAAGAACCCAACATTTCTAGCTTTCTTCAGCTTGCCGCTTTTGGGGCTTTGTTCATTTTCTTTCTTCACAGGGGCCTCCTGGTTTTCAGAAGTTTCAAGAGAATCACATTTCCTCTTTAGTCCTTTCATATTTCCTTCCTTTTCTTTTTCTTCTTCTTGTTCTTCCTTTTCATCTATTGGCTTCTCTGGATCACTGTGTAATAGTTCTGTTAGAGATGGTTTAGCTAGATCCCTTGCTCCCTGGCATTCAGAACAGTGCAAACAGAGGGGTAAGACTGAAGTTAGAAACATTCCCTTTGCAATGTCTAACTTTTAAAAACAGATTTTTTTTTTTAATTTTTAGATGAACATGAGTAGATCTATGTAGATAAGCTATTGCTTTTTTTTTTTAATTTTCTAAAGTGAATCGAAGAGGATTCTGACCTGAAGAGCAGCGTCTAAGTTGCTAGTTAGCTGAGAAAGGGAAGAGGCAACTGAGTCGAACCCTCTTAGCAGCAGCGCACAGTCTTCCTTCAAGCTCTTTCCCTGTTCGGATTCTTCAACAGCCTACAAAATCCGAAAATAAAAAGGTTCCTCATTTTTATTTTTCCTGACCAATAACAAGAAATTGAGATGCCTATGAATAAAAAAATGCCAAAATTCTCACATCTCCTTCGCGGGCCGGGAGGTGGAGATCGGGGAGAGCAGATTGGATTGGTGAACTGAGCTTCCGATTCTCCAGAAGGGTATCGACCCGGCTACGAAGAGCACTCCAGAAGCGTTTCTCCGAAGAGGGGCTCAGCAGAGGAGGAGAGTTCATTGAGATGGTCGCTTCCTGTCACCAAACTGAGGAGTTAGTTCAAAGAGACAACATGCAAACAGAGAAGCGTTGTGGAATATTTCTGTCATCGTACGAAGAAGAAACCTTGTCGAGGAGAGCAGGGGATGATCCATCCAAAGAAACCGCCATTAGAGTCCTCGTCACAGAGAGAGAGAGAGAGAGAGAGAGAGAGAGAGAAGGGGGTAACGGCTAGTTTCTGAAGGGCTAGATAAGAACAATCTTTTAAATAGATAAGCCGATTTCTCCCAACGTTCCAATCTCCTGATAATCTTCGACTTTATAAAATGACAAAATTGCCCTTTCCTCTCTTCTCTGCTTAAAAATGAACCGCTTTTTGATGAGATGAATCGGCTTCCATCGTGGCAAGCCCGTGCCACACCGTTCCAACCACCTTTTGCAACCTTGGATTGGGAATATCTTCCCATCAAATAAAGCACATAACGGCTCGAACGGGCTATGCCCTGACCGAAGACAAATTCCTTTTTGATTTTAGTTCGAGAGTCGTGATCAGTGAGTAAGGAGCCGATCTCAAATCGCTCCCAATGTACGGTTGCAAGACAGTGTTGGAAGCGTTTTGTTGGTATCAGATCCCTACCCTCTGTTACGCGGCTTCTATTCCCTGATTGGTGTATTACAACCATCCGATCTATGAATATCGAGACTCGCCCATTGCAGTGAATGGCTCGCGAAATACCCGGATTGTTCTCTTTATTAAAATAGAGTAAATTCCAGAGCAGAATTTTTAAAACTACCCGGTAATTTTAACGGTAAATTCCATATATAAGTTGGTGGCTTTATCTTGGATCAAAATTGTTGGTTCTCATACAATCGAGAGGAGTTGCAGACATGGCTGTTGTTTCTTCTTCATCCTCTTTTCTCTCCTCTCTGGCCTTAAACCTTCCTTCATCAGCTCTATCTTCGCATCCACGCATCCGTTTTTCCTCTACCCTCTTCTCCCTTTTCCCCTCTTCTTCTCCTTCTTCTCTGTCATCTTCTCTCTCCATTTCTTCTTCTTTTCTCTTCTACCCTGTGAGCTGCAGGCGCCCTTCTGTCTCTTCTTCGTTCAGTGTCAAGGCCAGTGCGGAGAAGAAAAAGGTTCTTATTGTTAACACCAACAGTGGCGGCCATGCAGTCATCGGGTTCTACTTTGCAAAAGAGCTTCTGTCCTCTGGTCATRATGTCACAATTTTGACGGTTGGCGACGAGAGTTCTAATAAGATGAAGAAGCCTCCGTTCAGCAGATTCTCTGTTAAGATCTTCCTGAATTCTTTTTCTTTCCTTTGCTTCGGTAAATTATGTATCTTCTTATGCCCTTTGTGCGGTTGAATTGTTCAGGAGATTGTAAGTGCTGGCGGACGGACAGTGTGGGGAGACCCGAGTGAAGTGGGCAAGGTTGTTGGTGGAGCAGCCTTCGATGTGGTGTTGGACAACAATGGCAAAGATTTGGACACTGTCAGGTTTATCAGCTGATCTTGACTTCTTTGGTTGGGTATATAGCTTTCACTTTTCCTTTTGGAATGTAATGTAAGTATCTCTTTTTGGGTAGCAAAGTGGAAAAATTTAGTTACTGATTGATCTTTAGAAAGGTATTGGGTCCTCTGGACTAAGATATTTAGGGTTTTAGCCTTTCCAGAACAATATAGCGATAATGCACACTGAGAATTCATAGTCTTTTAGGCTGGATTTGTGGATCCGTTATGCTTTACGAAATGGGGTAAAGGATCTCGAAAGGTCAATAGACCACGAATTCTGCAACTTGTCCATTCATCTGTATAGGCTTTGCCCTGACACTGGTCAGAAACCTGAACGGAATTTGAGTTCAGCCAAAGTATGTAAATCCGGTTTTCCTGTTCATGCAACAACAAGATTTTGATGAATTGATCTCCAAGAGTAGATGCTTTGTGATTTTCTTAGTAACGCATCCTAACACCAACCTTCAAATACAGGCCAGTAGCAGATTGGGCCAAGAGTACTGGTGTTAAGCAATTTCTGTACATCAGCAGTGCTGGAATTTATAAGCCAACTGATGAGCCTCCTCATGTTGAAGGGGTATTGTATGATTTACTTCTAAACCACTAATTCAATGCCTTATTTACTATAGTTTACATAATACTGTATGGATTGAATTCATTAAACACGAGTGGGAATTCAAAGCGATTAAACACAAAATTTACCATATGGTTGTCCCCAGTTATCAGCTGTGCTTAACTCAGACTTAATCTGAACTATTTGGGGTCAGCTACACGAACCTTGTTCCGCTTCAATTTTTGTTGTCATATTGGATTTGGCCCAAGGTTTTTGTGTTGGCTGCTAACTTGACACAACCCTCCTTTATCCAGGCTTGGAACCTCTATTGTAAGACAAGTTTGCACTATTGTCCCCATTTCTGAGGAGTTACAAATCATGCTCATGATGCCTATTTATGAGTGGCACCACCGAAAACCTTATTATTGGAGGACTTTCCTGGACATTTTCCATCCTTACATTAGGATCCTTAACAATTGAGATACAATTGCTAATCTTATTGCTATAAACAAATAGTATATATTGGGCATTTTACCTGTCTGCTTACTGAATTCACAACTGTCACAGGACGTTGTAAAGGCTGATGCCAGTCATGTTGCAGTGGAGAAATACATTGCAGAGGTTTTCACTAATTGGGCAATATTTCGTCCACAGTACATGATAGGATCTGGAAACAATAAAGACTGTGAAGAATGGTTCTTTGATAGTAAGTTGATGACTCTGACATTACTAAGAAATCTTTTGTATCATTTTTTCAATAAAGTACAAGGTTTTCTTTGCATAACTTGTCTATGGAGATGTGAATCTTGACTCTTATCAGTCCTTGCCTCCTTTGGAGCATTTAGCTTGAACAAATAGGAGATAAACATATATCATCACTTCATCAGGAACTGAACTCCCAAATTCCTTGACAGTTGTTTCTGCTTGACTTCGGCAGGTCTTGGTTGAAACGTTTTTTGATTTGGATGATACCTTACATTGAACTGTCTTATGGTATAGAAGATAAACAGCTTGGCTAATCCCAGTGAGGAGTCTAAAATCTAATGYATGAGTATTAGGTTTAAGATTCTAGCATTTTATAATATTAGGTAACCACATATTCACATAGTGACTCTTTTTAGTTGATGTTCATGTTGTTTCTAGAGTAAACAAAACCGATTATGAGTGTGAACTTGATGGTTATGTTTACTTGGACTGGTGTAAACTATTAATTGAATCTGTGATGGACTCACCTTCTTATATAGTTTATTCATCATTCAAATGGGAATCAAACTCAAAAATCTAGTGACTTTGTTTTTAGTTGGCAACAGAATTATTATATGGAAACTCTTTGGTGTAGGTAGTTTGATCATTTTTAAAGCACTCTTTCTCTTTTATTTTTTTCTTTTCCCAACATAGATTTTGACAGATCAGTTCTTATTTCGACAGGAATTGTTCGGGACAGACCAGTTCCTATCCCTGGCTCTGGAATGCAACTAACCAACATTGCCCATGTTAGAGATTTGTCCTCTATGCTTACTCTGGCTGTTGAAAATCCAGCCGCTTCAAGTGGCAATATTTTCAACTGTGTGAGTGACCGTGCTGTGACTTTGGATGGTATGGCCAAACTCTGTGCTCAAGCTACAGGCCGCCCGGTCAAGATTGTGCATTACGATCCAAAAGCTGTTGGAATTGATGCAAAGAAAGCATTTCCTTTTCGTAACATGGTAAGTTCTCTTTCAATTTTCAAGGATTCAAGTAATTGCTATTCAGATGATTTCCATCACCAGGGGAAAAGGAAGTGATGAAGTTAAGAAAAATAAAAGCAAATGAAATTAGAATCATATGATCAAAACTAAAAATTGTTTAATTGGGTCAATTTTCCATCTAGGTGATCTCCTAAACAGATAACTCAGAGATTGATGGATTCAGTAATGCATTGTCATTGTAGAGATTCTATCACACCATGTCAACTGAGAGATAATCTGTATGGTTTGTTTTGCAACAGCACTTCTATGCCGAACCAAGAGCTGCCAAGGATATACTGGGGTGGAAATGCACCACAAACCTTCCGGAGGACTTGAAGGAGAGGTTTGATGAGTATATAAAGATTGGTCGTGACAAGAAGCCAATGCAATTTGAGCTTGACGATAAGATACTAGACTCCCTTAAAGTAGCAGTAGCTGTGTGAGGTGTAACCTCTGAAATTTTTGTATTTTCCTACTGTATATGAATTTATCAATAACAATTTGTAAACTTTTTGTTTATGCAGACAACAAGAGAACACAAAATACAAGTATAAATTATTCCTATAGCCACACCTAAAAACAAGTGAAGATCAATCGGGCATCTTCTTTTGTAAATGTTCTGCAGAGAGTTATTACATCCATATGAGATTATCCTCACTGTACATTAAGGCAAAAAGGTCAATCATCTTGTCCATGGTGTTGAATCAGTAATTCAGTATAGCATTTAGGGGTGCAAATGGATCTGATCCAAAAATACGATCCTAGGATTCAGATATACTCCTGTCGGATTGGGTTGGATTTTTGGATCCGATTGAAAATTAGATTGAATTCGAATCATCCCCCTATCCGATCCGATCTGATATATATTATTATTTATAATTTATTTATAAATATGTTTATATTGCATTTTTTGTAATTTTTATATTTTTATATAAAAACACGTGTATATATGTGATGAAAATAGCTAAAGAAAATACTTGTATTTTTTGTTTTTTATATAAAGTGTTATATTTTTTAAATTTTTTATAATTAAATTGGATCAGATCATATTCAGATATCCGACATTATTAACAGATTCGGATTTGAATATGTGTTTGTGTGATCTGATTGGATCAAATGTTTGTACTGTCGGATCGAATTTGGATATACCCTGATTTAAATCCGATCCAATCTGTTTGCATCCCTAAATAGCATCATCGTGGGGATAGAGGAAATTCCTCCGCATTCGAATGTCAATGGGTTGGGTTGGGCATATGTTTTGCTCAACCCAAACATAATGGGCTGAACTAGGCTTGGGGCCCGGGATGGATTCTAGGCCATAAAAAAGACGAGATGCTTGTCTAGTTGTCTGCATGGGTCTCTTGATACGAAAAGGACATGATATAACATGCTTTTATCCCATCGTATTATGTACACAGATAGTTTATTTGACATTTCTACGATGAACAAAATGAATTGGGATCGACATTTATTTGAAGAGAGGGGGTGCTCAGGTTCCCCTCTTCTAGAAGGGGGCTGTGTTGGTGATGACGTAGTTGCAAGACTCAGAAATCAGAATCTCCTTGGCTTGTCTCGATGCCCTGTCCAAGACAGTTGAAGGATCAGGGTTAGAGGAATTAAAAACATAGTTGTTCCTGTGCAACCAAATGTTCCATAGAAGAATAGCATAATAATTTGACAACTCCAACTTCCTATCCTTCAATGAAAAGCATGTTTTTAGCCATTCAAAAAACCAGGATTTGAAAGTTAAATCATCCCTGACAAGGTTGAAAGATAGTCCCAGAGGGCTCCCAAACCAACACCTTTTAACAGAGTCACACAAGCAGAGAGCATGCAGAACTGATTCTTCCTTTGAAGCACACAAAGGGCAGAGAGGAGAGTTAGCTGTCTTCCCACTAAACAGATTTGCTTTAACAATAACAACATTCGAACAACACCTCCACAGAAAGGATTTCACCTTAGGAGGGACTGAGAGGGACCACATTGTAGTCTAGAGGGATTTTTCATTCTCACTTGAGTAAGAGGACCCTGCAGAAATTTTTTCTCAGCAAAATAGGCAGATCTAACTGAGAACTCGCAAGGACCAGGATAATTTGTCTTCCCACTCAAAGAGGGGAATTCTAGTTCTAAGAATTTCCTCAGCTACAAAGGGGAGGAAGGTAGAGCTTATGAGTTCTACCTTCCAAGCCCTACCTCCGGGTCTCATTAGATCTACAACTTTTGATACATTTGGCCATTTGGGATGTCAGGTCGGAGTCCAAAAATCTTGTAGTCTAGAAGGCCTGGAACCCAAGGATCTCCCTGATGAGGGATAATTTGCCCATCCAATGATGTGACGACACGTGAAGTGACGAAATGATATGGCGACACTTTAGCAACCTCAGACATCCCAGTGGTCCTAGTCACCTCGAGCACCTTAGATCACCCAACTAGACCGAGGCCCGAGCAACTCACTACACCCACCAACTTGTCGAGGTGCCACATAGCCTCCTTCTAGAAGCAAGCCAACTGTCTCTGATCTCCTCGGGATCACGGCATATGTCAACGGATTTTATCTTCTTGCCGCCCGAATTAGATGAACCTGGATAAGCCTTTTTAGCTTATTCGAAGTCCATCTTCAGGTGCGAAACCAACTCCGGAATAGACGGGCCGGTGATCTTGGACACGCATCGTGAGGCCCACAACAGCTTGCCTTTAGACTCACAAGGTATGTGCGATTTAGCTCTTGCATTCTCTTGCTCTCAAGCTATTAGCTTTCTCTAAATCTCCATCGCTGACTTAAGCATCAGAGTGCCCACACTGGGCAAAGCACCTCAGAACACTCTGATCCTCTTGCCTTGCAGCTCGACCTGGCCACATCACTAACCCGACGTCCGAATTATCTTCCAGCAGGGAGTGTTTAGATCACGCATCATCACTCCCCAAATTGAGACTTCTCTTCCTAAACCTATAGTCCATCAAGCTTCCTTAACTAAAACTTATTTTTCCTGCCAAAATACTTTTCCACCCCCAAGAGCCATTCTTTGGAAGAGCATCATGCAAAAAGGATTTTTCTTTGACATATTTTGCTCTAATCAGGTTTGCCCATAGGTTGTTTTCACCACTTGCAATCCTCCAAGCTAGTTTTTCAAGTAAAGCTCTGTTAAAACAACTTAGGTCTCTAAAATCCAACCCCCCATCCAGCTTATTTTTACTAATGGAATTCAATCTGACCTAGTTAACTCCCCTATCTGAGTTGGATTTGCCCCACCATAATTCTCTTTGAAGCTTCTTGAGCTTATCACAAAGTGTTTTTGGCATAAAAAACAAGACATACTATATGCAAGAATAGCATTCAATACTGATTTAATTAGGATTTCCTTTCCCACTTGACTGAGAACTAGTTTTTGACCTTGAGAAGTGGGAAAGCAGTCCTGGACAAACTGAGGGTGTCTCCACTTTTTCAAGTGCATGCTTTTGGAAATTATTTTTTGGAGTCTCACATTGCAAATTTGAGCTAAAAGTTACTTCAGACTTCGATAAATTAACTTGTTGACCGAAGGCCTCCTCATATAAGTTGATGGTATCCAGAATTCTCTACCCCTCATCCAAATCAGCCCTTGAAATCATCTGCAAAAAAATAGGTGTGAGATGACCAAGAAATTATTATTTAAATTAATTCTAGATAATTGATTTTCTTATACCATTTTGTTTAATAATCTGGAGAAGACATAAGCAAAGAGAAGGAAGAGAYAAGGGTAAATTGTGTCTCCCTTTCTAAGGCCTCTAGTGGGAATGAGCTTTTTATTGGGAGAGCCATTTATCAAAATCTGGTACAAGAATATGGACACACATTCCATGATCCACCTAATCCAAATCTGCCCAAACCCATCATCTCTATAACCTTTTTGTGGAAGCACCACTCTATTCTGTCATAAGCCTTACTTGTGTCTAACTTGATAGCCATATATCCCCTTTTTGCTTTTGTTCTTCCACATATAGTGAAAATTTTCATGAGCTATCAAGATGTTGGTATCTACCTTTAAGAAAAACACTTCGATTCTGGGAGACAAGGGAAGCTAATTTCTTTTTTAACCTATTTGTCAGAATCTTTGCTATTATCTTGTAAACAGAGTTGCATAGGCTAATAAGTCTAAAGCGGGTGGGCTCCTTAGGATGGTTAATCTTTGAATTAGAGCAATGTAAGTTTGGTTTAGATCTTGTTCCAATGCCCTAGTTTGGAAGAACCACTTACCTTGAATGGTTGAACCACTTAATTCTGTCCAGTTTGGTACTGAATTAACTTCTTAATTCTAAAATTCGGTGATCTTACCATGTGGGTCCCATAGTAAATATACTTATATATTGAGACATGTAATCTATGATAAAGAGAAAATATCAAAATTGCCCTTAGTAAGAATAGAATATGAGATTCATTGCCATAATCACTATTTAGTTTGCAATATAGTTCCGTTGGTGTGATTAGCAAAGAAAATGTAAAGCAAGGTGGTCCACGTCAGAGGGCAAACCCCCCATGTTGCTCTTTCCTTAACGCTCTCCCCATTCCCCCTCCCTCCCACCATTCTCATTACGCCAAGTTAGCATAACCCCCCTCTCTCTATTCATTTACATCTCGAAAACATAGTGGATTGGGAAACAATCTCTTTCCTTTTTTAAAAGAAATCCAATCCCCTTGATTATAGTCACCAATTTCTCTCTCTCTCTCTCTCCTAGATTATACCCACCATAGCATAGCCACCCTCTTTCTTTATTCATTCACAATTCATGAACGTGATGGATTGAGAAACAACTTCTATTTTTCTTGCTTTAAACAGATTAAAAGTTTAGAACACCACAAAGACTCACGAACCTCCCTCTTTTTGACCCTTTTGATCTTCTTCATCCCTATTATTCCACAAAGAAAAACTCTGTTCAACATCTCTTGAAACTAAAGCAATAGAAAGTACAAAAGAAACCACCCATCACATTAGGTCTTAGGAATGTTGTAGGCAAACCATTCATTAAGGTTAGTTTTAAGTTTTTGCTTAAATAAAGATTAATTTGAAACCTGTGCTTCAAGTTTTAAATTAATTTCCATATGTTTTTTTTTTTCTATTTTTCTTTTGTTGCAGAAAAGTTGTCACTTTGAGTACAGTCTCGTAGTTTCTCTAACAGGAAGTCTTTTGCATTGCAGGTATGCTACTGATTTTATAAAGGTTTTTAGACTTCATAATGGTTTTCTTCTTATATTTTGAATTTTGAGGTTTAAAAGGGTTTGTGTTTTATTTGGAGGTAGCGGTGCCAAGCAGGATTGCTAAAGCGATATGCTGCTCTATTGCCTGCACGAGGCCTAAAGGAAATAACTGAAGACTGAAAATCTTTCAAAAGGTCCCAGCAATCAGTGCTAATGGGAAATAACCGCCAAGGGAAATCGGGACGGTCATTCAACAGGGCTTGGACTACCTTTTGAGCGTCACCTTCGATCCAAACATGAGAGATTTTTAACTCCTTGGCCATTTGAATTCCTTCTTTGAAAGCGCAGGCCTCTGAGAACTCTGGATCAGATAAGGGGATGTTAACCGCTCTTCCAAATAAGAATTTACCTTTGTGGTCCCTCATAATGATCCCCAAACTCG